ATGCGAGTGGTGAAAGCATTCCGTAGTTCACAGTACGAGGGCCGGGAGAAACCGGAATCCCACAACTCCATCCACAACTTCATGGCCCACCCAGAGTTCCTCATCAACGACCTCATCCATAACATCCCGCTGATCGACGACACTGACGTAGACGACGAATCAGAGCTCAGCAGATACCAGCACCTGCACCCGGCCCTCCGCAAGCCGCCACCCCCCTCCCGCCCAGCCCCCAGCCCGCGTACACCCCACCCGCCCCTACCGCCAGTACAGCCTCCCTGTGACTCCGTGCAACAGAAACAACAACAACAACAACAACAGCAGCAGCAGTTCAACAGTCACCTACGGCAACCAAAAAAGCCCCACTGCAGCTACCCCCGGCAACCGGAACCCCCATCATCCTCAACAGCACCACCATATCCAACATGGCAGGGACAGGCCGGGGAAACCCTCCGCCCCTCACCTGGCCCATCTCTACTGTGTGGAGACCTCCTTATAACTGAACTGAGCGTGGGTCGGGGGGGAGAGAAGGGGAAGGGAGTTTTGGGGAAGAGAGGGCTGAGGACTCACACATGACATTTTCATCCCTTCCCTCACAGGAAGTTAGGGCGAGGGAGGGCCGGAGGGAGGGAGTGGACAATGGTTGGAGACTTCTGCTCACAACTCCCTGAGAATATTGCGACTTTCCCTCCTTTTGCCCTCGCTCCGGCCCTCTGAGTCTGAAAGACCACCCTCGACCGGCCGCTCTTTCCCCCTCTCTGAAGAAACCGCCCCATCCTGCCTAACTGCAGACACAGAGTCCTGAGTGACAGTGGGTTGGGGAGGGAGGGGGACAGAAACCCCCCCCCCCAAAATAAACCCCTCACATTTTACAAGGCTTCAGCCGAACAGGGGCCACGTCAGGGCCAGAGGCTGACCAACTCTGTTTCTTAGAGTTCATCTCTACCCACCTACCTACCTGCCATGGCACCAAAGTCACCCCCACCCCTGTCATTTCTCTGGCTACAGACAGATACACTGAACAACTGAAACATTGACTTTAATTAAATGTAATATGTCAACAGATTTTACATAACTGTATTAGGTTAGCTGAAAGCAATACTATTTAGTTTACATAAAATATTAGGGTCAACTTAATATGATTGCTTTCATCTAATCTAATAAATGATACATGTAATTGAAGTCAAGGTTTAAGTTTTTTCAATGCTACTTCAGTCCAAATCGTTTCTTTCTTTCATCTCTCTCTATCTTTCAGTGTGTGTATGTGTATTGTCTTGTCTCTTCTGGAAAAAACAACAACAAAAATAGGAATTGCAAACAGATGCTGTTCATTTAAACCTAATAGTCAATAGTATGGCTGCAAAAAACTACTTAAGAAGTGGGGGGGGTACATATATATACAGTTTGTGTTATCATTTGAATGTGTGGGAAGCGACAGCACAGACCTTGTCCTCTTCACACTCTCCCATCCTTTGGAGGCCAGTGTTATCTGTCACTCTGTCCACTGCTATGAGAGGATACAGCGTGTAGGATCTCACAGTGTAGTCATGGACACACTAACTTCCTCTACCTGCCATGTTGTGAACTGATGAGTCATATTTATGAAGTCCTCTTCATTTCTGTCCCATCATGCTGGCTCAAGCCGTTATGTAGTTTCCTTCACTCCCTTCATCCAATCTTCTAGTCCTTCGTTGGTGGGTTTGTGTGTCAGTAGTTTTTTTTGGAAGCATTAACCCTTTAAATGCCATCAAACACAATGCACAGGCGATGGCCCTTTAAGACTAACATGCACTCACTTCAAAGCTGCTCACGTGCCATCGGGTTGTCTCCATCGTGTGCCCTCCATGAGTCTGGAGGACGAGGAGATTGTTTCATTTGATCAGTAGGATGTTGCGTCCAGTCATTTTTACCAAGAACTACAATAATCACTGGTTGGCGTTGAATAGGAACCCATCTTATTTCAGTTTTAGCTTTAGGCCCAAGGACCCACTCAATCAGGTTTGACCAATGAGAGCTCATGTGTCATGTCCATGTGTCAAATACTGTGCTTTCTGCTTAATCATGATATTCAATTAGTTGATTGAGATACATTTCCACAAAATATTGGAGTATTACTTTAAAACTAGGGATCAATATTTTGTCTATGCTGATACCAATAAACACCCATTTTACCCCCTATTGCAGAACCGTTAAATAAAAGTATTTATCTGCTATCATGAAGGCCCACTGGCATGTGCAAGAATTAAATACAGTGCTCAGGTACTGGCCAAAATCACCAAACAAATGTACCTGAGGTTACATATAAAACATGCCATGTATTTTTTTCATGAAATACATTAGCCTGTCATATCGGAGGAAATTCCCATGTATTATGTAAGCCTTTATCTGCCGTTACAATGACATGAATCCCAGAGAGTTATTATGCTAAAGCTTTTCAATGTAAAACAGCAAACCATGCTGCATGAGCACACCCCAACGAAACAAAAAATACCAGAAAACATTTGGACAGCGCGCCAGTGACAGCGAGCATGGCGCTTGTGACATCCCACTCCACCGTCACCTCGCCGACATTCCATGGAGCATACATTCCAAACATCACATTCCAGCGTGGGTGAGAGCGCCCTCCTGTCTCCCATGATGCACTAGGTGTGCGTGAACCGCTGACTCCATGTTGCCTCGGAGCGGGACCGCAGATCTGGACCCTTCCTCCCCCTGTTGACTTTCCTGAGTTCTCACCTGCTCCTCCCCCCCGAGAAAGGCGCTGGCAGACATTATGCAACAGCCCGCCCGTGTGGACCCTCCTGCCCAGCTGGGGTCAGAAACACAGTGTCACACATGCACACAGAGAACAGTGTGTCTTGCTGGTCTGTGAGGAGGCTCTGTGGGAACACCCGTATACCTGTACAGAACCCTGTCTTCTTGAATGCTCATCATCATCATCATCATCATCATCATCATCATCATCATCATCATCATCATCATCATCATCATCATCATCATCACCACCACCTTGCCCTGACGGAGGGGGCCGGGGGGGACATTGTATTGGTCTGTCTGTTTTGAAGCATGCATTTGATATCATTAATGTCACTCTTTATGTGTTGGTAAATCATTTAGGCAACTGTGTGCTATGATCTCTCCACAACTGCTCTTTCTGTCTCTCTCTCTCTCTCACACACACACACACACACACACACACACACACACATCCTGTTCATGCCCAACCTATTCTATTCCAGCAACTCTTGGCACAGCTCTATCAATGCTTTTCTGCAGTACACCACACACACACACACACACACACACACACACACACACACACACACACACACACACAGAACAACTGGCGGATAATCCACAGTGGTGTAAATTTGACTGTCCAGTCCCTGCCATCTCTGTCCATCCGTCCAACCACGTTACATCATGATGTTGTGAGACAGTGTCACAGAAGGCAAAACACAATGTGAAAAAGAATATATTATATTTATCAAAATTATAAATTGTACAACTGCACCACTACTGTACAGATCGCCCAAATGTGCATCTTTGATTTACAGGTACTATGTTCCTGTTACACTTTTTGTTTTTTCTGATGTTTTTTTTCTTTACTCCTATTGCTTTCTGTAAAGAGAGGAACAACACAATGAAAGCGCTTGTATATTATTATTATTTTAGATTTTCTCCATCAGTGCTCCCACTGATGGAGAAAGACGGTTGCACATTCTCCTGAGCATATTCTGAGGGCTGTGTTTTCTGTCCACTGAACAGCCCCTGAAGTGTGCAGAGGCTTCTAGTCTCTTAAGACCAGAGACACCATTCTGTAAATAGAGAACAGGAGATACAGATGTACCTCATTATGATCTAAAGGACCAAGTGGAGACCCGGGGAGGAAGGAGAACTGGAGGGCGATGCAGAGCTAGAGACTGCAGGAGTGCAATGCGTCAGTGCGTTGTTTAGGCTGCTCTCTTAGATCTGCGACAAGTATTTACTGCCATGTTAAGAAGGGAAGAACTTAACGTTTTACATTATTCATTATACATACTGTTGTACATATTGTGTGTGGAATGGTCCCCCTTCTGGCACAACGCAGTGCTGTTCTGCAGACAGAAAGTGCAGCCTTACCTGTGCTAAAACGAAAAAAGACCAAAAAAAGTAAAACAACCATAAAGACTATTGAATATATTAAAGAGTTACCTGCCTGTTATTTAAGCGAATAAATATCTATATATGAGAAAGAACACACCTGTATACTGTAGACTAAATCTGTATGGAAATCTAAGAGAATTTAATGGGAATTAAGTCCAACACCTTTTGTCTGTATGAAAGATACATCAAAGTATTCTACAATAATAACTTTGACAAAGTCTGTTTGGTCCTGTGTTTTTTGTTCACAATGATTCAAAACTATACTCACATGTTCCACCTCTGGAAAGTCAAACCTGCATGGCCTGTTGTTTGGGAACAGATGCAGCGTTTATTCTCACAGGTTACTGAAATATTCATGAAGTCTTTTTGAAATGGTACTCACAGAAAATGAGTTTGATCATTTATCTTAGAGTAAAAAAAGACTGTCCCTTATTTACACCTGCAGGGGGGAAGGTGCATGACTGAAGAACGTTCTCTTAAAAGCATACATGAGGAAACACAGGGGGAGTTAGCAAAGGCTGCATTCCATTTAGCTGTGCATAGCTGACTTGTAAACATGGGGCAAGTTGGCCACTAGAAGTAAAAAAGAAAAGAAAATCTCACAACTCTTGCAGTATAATCCCAGTCTGATTTATCCAGTACTAACCATTTAAAACCCTTCAGACTTGCATGAAGTGTGAGGCTGTTTATGCTTATGCACGTTTGATCATTGAAGTGAAGAGATGTTAATGGCATTTTCTTCCGTTTTTTAAGTTGTCCCCAACACCTTTGTTTCTGTGTTGACACAGATGTTGGGATTTACACTTAGGAAGTGACATACACAGATTATCCATTTGCTTGCAAAAAACCGTACAGCTACAGTGAGCTTTCAGGTTACAAACAATGTTAAATATTTCCTTTATAGCGTAGTAAAGTAGAAGTCTTGTTACTTATATGTTTCATTGTTCTTATTTGAACACCTACATCGTCTTTAATATTATGAGTTCCTCCGATTGAGACCTGGGTCCTCATTTATAAAGGGACATACGCTCAAAAAATGGCGTACGCCAGTTTCTACGCAATGTTTGCGATTTATAAAATACAAACATGACGGGAAAACGTGCGGTCCTCCACGCAAACTCTAACCCATGCGTACGCACTAAGCACAACAACGGGAGAGACGAGAAACTGCGACACCGTTGGCAGAAGGAAGAATGGAGAGAAATATCTGGAAATAATACCATCAATAAAATATTACCTCTCATTTATCATATATGAAGAATTCATTTTCAAACATTGATTAAAGCCAATGTTAAAATTATTAAACAAACGCCTGTTTGAGACTCCTCAGTGCACACAAAAACATAACTTGGAGAAATAAATAAATACGGATATGTTATTTAAAACCACCTCGAATATGTTGTGTTAATGTTATGAAATGTTTTCTCATAAATGATGCGGTTTTGCATTTCTATAGGTTGTAGATACGAGCATGGTTTTATATACTATCATGTTTAATCATGTTTTATGCCGTTTGCTAAGACTTGATAAGTCGCTCATAAAACACAGGAGGTATGGAAGCTAAGAACACCATATGTGGTCAATTGTACAGCTAATATAACACAACACATTAGTTGTATTTCCTTTAACTGGTGGATATAGAGTTGCTGCAGTGGAGACGCTGCGCACAGCTGATCGAGCTGGGACACAAACCACCAAATACAAAAACATAATTCAGATCCAGTCGTCATGACTCCACTCCGGAGGGATTCCCCGATCATTTATTACAGTCTCTCATCAAGGGGGGGTCTCCTGTCCCCGGTACAAACACACTGCCTGAGGAAGGCTATGGCTGCTTCTCAGGTCGACTATTTTAATTTCCTCGCTCCTCGGTCTCACCGGAAGTTGATTTGCCTGCGCCATCTTGAGTACGTCCCATGGCTCTTATTTCTGCCGGAGGACCGAGGATCGAGGAGCGATCATGGAGGAGCGATAACCGAGGAACCACCAGACCATCCTCCGATGAAATCCTCAGATACTCACCCCGCCCCCTTACTGTGTATCGCTCACTGATTGGACGAGGCAGTGCATGCACTGATCTGATGCTTCTTGACATGAGAGCAGAGTGAAGAAAATACATGAACCTCACGGGAGTCACTCCTCAGTTTATACCGTGTTTTGTTTCAATTCATGTTTCATTTAGTTACAAATATGTGATCGAAATAGTGGTCAAAAATCATTTAATTCATTTATTGGAAACATTTTCATGATCGCTTTTTTCGTTTTACATTTTCATTTATTGTCATTTCCATTCAGTCAGTCATTAAGTGCTATTAAAATGTTAATGTGCTACATATCCACACAAACAAACAAAGTGTGCAATCCAATGAATGTTAATCTAACTGGGTTTTGATAGATAACATATCTCTTTTTCTTCTCTCAATTATTTTATTTCTATTGTGCACTCTAATCAATATTAATCCAACTAATGTTCGTTTATACATTTTAAGAATGGCGTTTATCTTTTTTGAGAATTAGTTCTTATTTTATTTATTGGGGTCTACAACAGATGATACAAATGTTTGTGTCAGTAAATGTGTACTAACAGAGGGGGGGGTGTGTGGAAAAACGGGGACAGAGCTGCTGTCAGACGATCAGCTGTGCAGCGTCATCACAAACGGACGTCGCTTCACCTGACGCTCCGGAGGAAAGGACGTCCCATTGCTCTTAAAACTCATTTCCCTGCTTCTCGTGGTTTCCTTGCGTCCCTCCATGCTTCCCTGGTGGGAGGGACTAAACGCAGGGAAACGCAAAGATTTCATTTAATCGACCTGAGAAGCAGCCTATGTGTATTTATGTTGTCATGAACCTTTTTCGGACCACTTATTTATTTATTTTGGTGACGATCCGACCTCCATGCTGCTACTCTGGTTCAAACTGCATCCACCAAGCAATATGATTTATCTCGACCTCCCCAAAATAACCAAAATCTGACACGGTGTGAGATGTCTTTTTTAGCTGTTCTGTCGTCATTTCCTGCTATCTTCTTCATAAAGTCAGTCAAAATGAATGAATGAATGGGCGTTTCTTTTACTATTTATAGGCAAATATGGGCGTTACGTGAATCCTGCAAAAGCTGCACCGCATTTCGAGTCGATTGCGATTTATAAAGGGAAACCGGCGTAGGAAGTGCTGTACGCACTTTCCTCGCCGGTACGCAATGTTTGGTGAATCGGAAAATGTCTGTAACTATTTTTGGGATTTCTACTATGTAAGCAACCTTCCCACGTGAATCCTACGCACGGCGTTATACCTGAGGCCCCTGAGCTGTTAAAACTCAGGCGTCTGTAGATCTCATCCTGTGGGTTATGTGGACATCTGCTCATGTCTTCGAGTTAGAGTCTATATGGACTTGTCTAAGTTTAGATCACTTTTAAAAGTTGTACTGTCATTCATTTTCTTTGTTCAATGGACCAGTGTTGCAACTGGATAAACATGAAATGATTTTCCAGTCCTGAATCTTGAGATGACTCGCTGGACCTCTGCAGGCACTGACTGTCATCGGTTAACAAAAGCACTTATATGGTTAATGAAGAACAGAAGTAGGACTCAATGGGCCAGATTTGTGAAGCTATCTGAGGCCTACTGTAGATTTACACTACAAATGTGTCAGGCAAATATGCATGTAATGTTTGCCCAATTCATAAAACCTTATGAATCAGAGAATCACCACTTATTAATCACATGAAGCCTCTATAAAGGCATCATCGCAATATCCCAATCATTATTACACATTATAGGGATGATCAAAGATTGGTGCCTCGCACTGATTTTCATTTACCCTGAGGTTGTGCTGAAATGTGCATTAAAAAATATCCCATGGTGAAATTCACAAGCTATCAGAATACCTTTATTCATCCCGCAGAGGGGACATTTGCAAATCTACCTAGCAGTAAATACCTTCACGAGCTGCAACATACATTCGACACATTAATGCATCAATAATAATCCTATATTGGAATATATATTATTCAGAAATACATTCTAGAAGTAGTCTTATGGTGAGTCTGGCCTCTGAAAGATTCCACATCTCGTCTTTACTTTCACTAAGGTAAATAGCACCATGGTATAAGCTGTTTCACCACACTAGGTCCACCTGGGAATATAATACCACAGTCTGAGATGTTTCTGTCAAAATATCTTCTCAGCAGTTTACTGTCACTCATATGATACACTTTTCATTCTCATTATCTTTAAAGTTCTCTGGTGATCAATTGAAAAACATGACTGCTGAAACTCTTCTTTACAGAACAGTGTTTTTCGGCCCATGTTGCACTTCAAGACACCTTATGTCATGATTAGGAAATGAAGCAGTTTTAATGTTTTACCTAGCGACATGTTCATTGTGAATTTAAATTTATTAATGCTGAATTCATTTGTAGAAAAAAAAATCATCTTCAGAAGGCTACTATATAACTGTCTACCTCTATTTTTGTTACACTTTGCTTATTTCCGTTAATCTTAAAGAGATAGTTCTGTTTTTGTGAGTTTGTACTATATTTTGAGTCAAAAGTCAGCTTTTATATTATACATATATACGAAATAGTTGTTTATATACATCATATTTTACAGCATCAGCTTTCTGTCAACTGGCCCTTAGGGTGAGGAAATTGAGCCACAACTAAAGCTCTCTTCAAAGTTACTGAACATCAAACGGAACTTGATGGTCTACCGCTGCCTCAATTTGTAAATCAGTTATTGTTTGACTGGTTAAACCAAACTGATCCATTAATGCACCAACGTCAAACAAAGACACACTTACTGAATGAGGCAGCAGTATTAATAAAAAAGTTTGCTGGCTTTGAAAAGAGCATAGATAAAAAGTGTAGTGTCTGGTAATAAGAACTGTCTGACCGCAAAGTAGGGTGGTGAAAAAATAAATAAATATAGCAGACACTTAAACTTATGTAGATTTTTTAGGATGACAAATAGATTTCGCTTCTGCCCCTAGCAGTACATTGCTGAACTTCCTGCTGCTACTCCTGTCTGCTTCTACAAAGTGGGGGTGAGCTGACCACCATCTTCTGTTGGTATATACACTGACCTTTGATAAATGCCTCACACAAACCCTTTCCAAAACATGCTAACTGTTTAATTCTGCAACAACAAAGAAAATCCACATCATTAGAATGATGATTTCCATTGGACACAGGAGACAATTTAAGAACTTTAAATGTTATT